CTCATGGTGATCAAGATGATTATGACGAACAAGGGCCAATGTACGATGACCAGCTAGATCCACTTATTGAAGAGATTTTGTGGACTGAGAAAAGAATACTTTATCTTGACCTCGCATTAGTAATGGAGTGTTCATTATTTGAACCACCCTATTGCCGTGATTACTCTCTGACTCGTGAAGAGCAAATTGAAGCAAACAGAGATGCAATCCAGGCGAGAGAACAATTTCTCAAAACAGTCAAAGAAGAACGCCAACTGCTCCAAACCCAAAAAGATAATGAACAACGCGAATATTGGGAGCATATGCAAAAGATGCTGGAGGACTTTAAGAAGGCTATGGAACAACAAGAAGAGATGGAGGAAATTATTGTTCTAGAAGAGGATGAAGAATCTGAGACAGAGTCTGAAACTAAATCCAACAATGTCTCAATTCTTGAATACCCACAAACTCCATCACCATTGTATATCGAAAACAAGATAACACTTGCAGAAATGATTGCACGAGGTTCAGTGGTGATGCTTCCTGAAAGCCCGAAAAGTCAAATCGTACAAGAGGTGAAGCATACTGAGGGTCCTGTCTCAGAACCGCCTTCACCAGCTGCACTAGAAACGTTGGAGGAACATGTCCTCCTAACATGTGTTGAAGACACTTCTCCAGAGGAACCTGTTCTGGAGAAATCTGAGCCCACCACCGACCCCCTTGATTCCAATACTGATGAGTCTGACAAAACTATAGACGAGAAAATACCTTGTGATGTTGAACCCATTCCGTCTATAGAAACTATCACTGAAGACTCAGGGGAAGGACATGTTGTAATCATCGAGCCAGCAACTAAAAGTCAGCCCATTGAAGGCCAATGATGTGGATACACCGAGGAGACTCCCACCACCACCCATCCGAGACGAGTCTCCTTCATTTTTCCTGTTGCCACCACGCTACAGGAATGAGTCAAAGATCCTGGACTTTGACTACAAAAGAACAGAACAAAGGTGGCATCAGGAAAAATGACTTAAACAAGTTTAATGACTTAAACAAGTTTAAAAACATTTTTATGATGTAAGAAATGCAATGAGAGTTTTTTGCCTAAAGAGCCACGGTGTAAAGATTTGGTCGGTCTTGATCACAATAAAGACCGACTCAATACTATTATTAAGGTCTTCGTTCTTGGTCTTCGTTTAGCTCTTGCTCTTATCTTCGTTCTTCGCCTTGTATATTCAATGTTCGACTTGATCACGGCGGTTTGGCATTATCAAAACCTGTTACAAAAACGAACACGGCTTTAGTACGAAAACGTGACAAGCCCGTGTTTCAACAAAAATCGCAGGGATAAAGTAAAGAGCGGAATAAAAAAGGAGTCAAGGGAGCACACCAAGATTTACCCTGGTTTACCACAACTTGTGGCTAATCCAGCCTCCCGAGAGACTCTCTCGAGCTACACTACTTCCGTTAAGCTTACGGGTGCTTAACAAACCGTTACAACTTGAGAACTCGAGTCCCACGAGCCTCAATACACTTGCTCGGAGATACCGCACTCCAAGACTTTAACCCGAAGGAAAATACCTTTCCTTCGTACAACCAAGGGAAACAAGCTTCCCTAAACGTGTTTACAACACTAAGAACACTCAAAAACAAGACTCTCTTTAAGAGTAGATGTTGAGTAAACTATATACGCTCAAGAACAACTCAAACTTCACAAATTGGCTCTAGAAAGCTATGGAAAATAATGTTGTTTGGATGCAATGATAATATGAATAAAGTGAAGTGAATTGATGAGAAAAGCAGACCCAAACACCCCTTTTTATAGTGCCAAAATAGGCTCCAACGGACCAATACATTAAAGGGGTGATTGGCTT